GGTTCCTCATCGTCATCGTAGGGAGGAGGAGGAGGAGGAGGAGGAGGAGGAGGAGGAGGAGGAGGAGGAGGAGGAGGAGGAGGGGGATTCCCTGGATTCCTTGCTTACCCGCCTGTCATGGTGTTCACTCGAAGCTTGCCACCGCGACAGGTGCGGAAACTGTGCCAGCACAGCACCTGTGGCCGCATGGTACAGCCGCCTGGCTGCGGCAGCAAGCTGTCTGCCGAGAGCGTTTGCACAGCTCCCCGATGGAGCATTCAGGCCTGGCCAGTGCCCCAGGCAGGAGTCCTAAGAGGAGGAGAAGGAGGTGGAGGGTGGGGAGGTTCGCGCGCCTCGCCGGGGCGCCTGCGAGAAAGGCAGATGGGGGCCAGCCTTTTTGGGAGGCGGCGGGGCTCCTCAGAAGCCAGCCCGGCCTTCCGAGGACCTTTCCGAGCCTTCTGCGAAACCAGAGGCGGCTTCTCGGAAGGCGTGAGGCCTCTTGAGAAGCCCATGATGTCGTGTCCCAATCCTCCTCTTCCTCCTCCCTCTATGTGTCTGCCACAGCGTTTTAGGCTTTGCGTCCGAAACCGGACGATGACAGGAGTTTAGGCTTTTCCGAGGGCGCTCGCGAGGATAAACAATCGCCCACTTTTCGTCCAGGGTCCTGTTTCGATGGTAGCCGGAGCGTTGTTCACGAGACGGGGAGGCAGGCGACCGACACTGAGCGATGGCCCGCGGAGACGAAACCACAGCTTCTGAAGTTGCCAAATGAGAAGAACAGCAGGAGGAACCGCCGCCGCCAGCAGAACGAGAAACGGAAGATCAATAGCGAGATGACTGGTTGGGGAACGATTGGTGGGACGACTGTTGGTATCAGCCGTCACGAGACCCGTCAGCGTGGAACTACGACAAGCCCCCCACCACAGAACGATCGAGAGACTATTCAGCCCCTCCTCAGTTCCTGGGTCTTGAACACCTGGAAACGTACGTGGCCAACCTGACGTCATGGACCCGACGGACGGGGTTTCAACCAGATACGCAGGCCGCGAAAGTTCTCGAGGGTTTTCCAGTCGAGCTGCAAGTGCAATTCAAGGGTATCAGAGACTCGCACGAGTCCGAGGAGGGGATCGACAGGCTCGTGGCTCGGCTCAGACTTCTCAACGGAGAGAGACTCGGAGACAAAGAACGAGAAGCGGCATTGTTCGATCATCACATTCAGCGAGGAGAAACTCTCACAGAGTTTGTTCTTCGTAGAGATGCGCAGCTCGCGCAGGCTGAAGCTTACGGTCTGCAGCTGCCCGACGCAGTGCGAGCACGATGCTAGGAGGAGGGATCTCATTCGACGGGTCAGATGAAAGCGAGCTTGCGGACGCTCATGGGGCCAGACATGTCAGCAGCTGCAGTGAGACGAGCACTTCTTCAGCTAGATGTAGCCGACACGGCGGTGCTGCCAAAGGCCCAGAGCGCGGCCAGCTCAAAACGGAGTTATGCAGTCACGGAGACGCCAGATGACGACGCGCAGGGCAGCATCTACATTTTCGAAGTTGATTTCTCAGAGGATGAGGCCGCCGAGTTTCTCTCCACCCTCGAGGCGCAGGACCTGCGCGAGAATGACGCTTCTCAGGTTTTTGCAGAACTGGCTGACGAACGACGGAAGAGAACCTGGAAGGAGCCCCGACAGCTCAAAGCGGCCCACAAGGTAGATCGAGAGTTCTTTGATCGCAAGCGCTCGACGTCATCAGGAGAGAACCCCAGGCGCATCAGCAAAGACGATCCGAAGAAGGAGAACGCGTTGCACACATAGTGGAGAGAAGGGGCACTGGCGAGAGGATTGCAAGCGTGCGCATCGATCCAAGGCTGACCGACTCAGGGCCGAAGGATGAGCGTCCGGATCAGACAAGGGGTCGAGCATGCCAGCGCAAGCCTGACCGACGTTCAACTCGAACGATTGCTATTTCCTCTCGCCGGGCGAAGTAGATTCCCCGACCTGGGCCAACTTCTTGGAGCACGTCACCGAGGCCACGGAGAGCTTCGCCGGGATCCAGCTCCGAGACATGGGGGATCATGCGTTGGTGGGCACGGCGGCGGCCCAGGCGCTGATCGGGGAGCCAGACTTGAAGAATCTCCAGCAGGCATTCGAGGAGAAAGGTTTTCACGCGCACGTCAAGCACGAGAGTGAACTGCCCTGCGCGAGCGGGGTCGGAGGGCGAGTCAGGCGGGTAGCGGAGGCAGCTGCTCCATTTGTTTTGGCTGTTGCCGGGTGCTGGAGTGTCTAGTGCCCCCGCGCTCCTGCCCCCCCGTGATCCCGGCCGGTTTCCTGGACTTCTTGGGGGCGGTGATCGACGTGAAGGCGAACGTGATTCCATTTGCCGGGGGCCCAGAGACGACGGTGAAGATGGAAAAGGTGGCTTCTGGGCATTGATCAATTTGTCTGATCGGCAGGGGCGCGAAGGAGTTCAAGTTGCATCCTGATCTGGCCATGAAGTTCCCCAGTTTCGTGAGACAGGAGTCGGGGGGGGGGGGCGCGTCCTGGATGACGAGCCAGATAGACAGCTGGAAGGTCATGACTGATTGAGCGCGGCTTCGCCATGTCAAGCCTCGGCGTGATCTGGCAAACAAGGGAGGCCTGCAGGATGTTCCAGTCTCCCTCGACCGGTCGACCGGTCGCCGTGCTGCCTGCTGCGAGTTTCGGGGCGCCGCTAGCGACCGCTGGGTGACTATTTCGAGGGCGACTGGAAGTAGGGGCCGGAAGGCGCGAGGATGCGCGACTACTTGATCCGGTTCTCCGTCTTCTACTTGGAAAACGGCGAGCGGTCGGTTCGGGGCCTCCGCCGCCAGGGCCTGTGTTCCTTTGCGCCTCAGCATCCCTCCCCACCCTCTCTCTTTCGACCGAGGCATCAAACGGGGCTTCTCCAGGATCAGTCGGGTCGCAGTTTGAGGCCTGCTCTTTCTTTAGCCTCTGGGCTCAAGTCTTTGCCAGCTTCGCCGGATACATTTCTCGATGCTGAAGATACACGGAAACGGGATGATGTCTACTGCAGCTCACTTGATGCGCGGGCTGGTCAGTGTCTTAGCCAAGACCCGCCGCCGCACGAGATAGGCCGCACTTCACCTCGCGGCCGACGTGGCTACGGCAGTGGAGGGAATGGGGGGGGGGACTCGGATCTAGAGGCGAACTGGGTCATGCCTTCGGACCCCTGGGTAGACGGAACGCGATGCTCCGTGAACTACGAGGGGGGCGAGCTGACGGAGGTCGAGAAGGGGTTGTTGAATGAGGGGCGCTTTCTGCTGACGCCGATGGCCGTCGGTGGAGACGCTGGACCTTGACGCGGCCCTTCATGCTGAATGTGTGCTCGGAGTCTCGTTTGCTCGCAGCGCTGGCCCCGAGTTCGCGGGGCAGCACCGCGCCGGGAGTCATGGAGGAGGAGCGCGATCACCCTCCGAGCTCCCCGCGCCAGCCACGGGAAACAGTGCGCCCGCTGGATCAAGCGCAGCGAGTGCGGGGCGCGACTGCGCGCGCACAAGCTGACCCCCGAGGACAAGAGGAACATGAGGGCCGAGAGGCCGGCAGCCAAGAAGGAGCACGTCAAGGCAGAGGAGGGGCAGCGGGATATCCATATGGCCTTTCAGGTGAGGAACTGCGACTGCGTCCAGGACGAGAGGAGCCAGCGCACAGGCCTCCTCGCAGCCCAGGGTCTACCTGATCTCAGGGCCCAGGGCGTCCAGCTGCTCTCAGGGTAAAGATGCCAGTGACCGTCCCCGAGGACATTGACATGAAGCCCCCGCCGCCCGAGCTCCCGCCTGGTGCCCAGACTGCGCGCAGGAGCCCGCCCCCGACTAGGAACGCAGACGGATTCGAGGCCCTGCTCAGAAACCAGGAAGCCAGCCGAGCAGAGATCGCACAGTGGATGTCCGAGCAGAAGAGAGAATCGGAGACCACCAGGACGCAGTTCAGGGAGCTGATGGAAGTCATTCGGGGCGGTCTGACGCGGTCGCCGAGCAGTCGGGCGACGCCGGGGGCTGCCATGAAGGTCGAGGCCCACGACGGACGTGGGCCTCTCCAGGTACGAGTCCAGGCTCGAGCGCAGCTCGACCCGCTCCATATTCCAGCCGAAGGCCGACCAAGGCAGTAGAGAGCTGCCAGAACAAAAGGGCATCCTCATCTTCCTTCCATCAACCTCACCTCCGCCTCCATCAGATCCGCTTCCGATTTCCCCCCAGGACTTCAGATGGATCTCAGGGGCCTCCTCCCCCGCGGGACCGATCCGAAGCCCTGGGCTGCGAATATTTTCGGGGTGTCGGAGTCGAGGGGGAGAGACGTGGAACTGAGAGTGAGTTCGCAGGTGCCGGACTCCTGGGCGCGGGACCCGGGGGCCAGAAAGCAAGTCTCGCTGGAAGAAGTGGCCCTGGGCCAGGAAAGACCTCGAGCCCCCAGAGGCTCGAGCGTTGATGTCTTGCGTCGCGTGAAGGGCTCAAGAGAGCCAAGACGCCGAGTGCCCCACTGAAGGGATTCGCCGACTTAGGATCACGTCGAGCAACTGTGGCAGGACAGCGACTCTGGTGGACTCATTGTCCGGGACCTCAGCGTCTTATCTAGCATCGCGGCTGCATGACTCCAGAAACTCCGACATCAGCGTCGCGGTCTGGGTCTCTGCTGGGGCCCCAGTCTCTAGCATTCCGTGGAGTTGGTCCCTGCCGGACCGCCACCCGCACCATAGTCGGTCTCTGGCTCGGCCCCCGGCGACGGTCCCTGGAAGGGCCCAAGAGGACGCGCTCTGGACTTTAGAAGGCCGGGGGGTCAGGGGCTCTAATTAAGAAGAAACTAAGGCAGAACCTGGCACGAGATCCAACGACAAGGTTGCATTCTGATGCTGCAGTTGTTCGCGCCGCCTGGGCGTTGCGCCCGAGATGGGGCGGCGCGGATTTCTATGCTCGACCCCGATAGATCTCCAGACAGGATGGGATCTCCGGAGATCCCGAGACAGAGCTCAGATGTGGCAGCTGTTGGAGAAGGATGTCCC